GAATAATTTATACCGTGTTAAAGTCAAACTATTATAAATAAAATAAAGACATTAGAATTAAGGGCTTGTTTAGTTCACCTTATTTCTTGCTTATTCGAACTTATCTGGTCTGGTCGTCGGATTTGACCAAACTATGATCTTAAGTGTACGATAATCTATAAGGAAAAAATATATCAAGTAGAGTCTTGTGAGATTCGTAATAATGTGTATTTTATTAATATGTAATTTTCATAATTTTTTTCATTATGAAATTAAAAATATTTAGCGATAAAAAACTGCACATAAAACGATGATCTGATTTAAACTTATTTTACTAATCTGATCTGGTTTAAACTCATTTTTTAAAATCTGATCTGATTTGAACTTATTTTTTCTTAAATAAGTAAAATTAAGTTAAACTAAACAACTAAGTCTTTCCTTGAAACAAAAAACAAAAAAAAAAAAAGACCTAAGTCACAACTCACACCTTGCAAGAAAAAGAAGTTCATGATGACAAAGTCCCTATAAAAAACATTCTAGAGTGGAAAGGCCTAAATTAAAGCCACGTGGCGTCCACCATCCCACGGTCGGCACCTCCATCTCCATGACCGTCAATTTAAATCACATCTGTAAACAAAAAGCGTCAATTCTACACAAGACAGAGTCGTCATCAAACGCCGTTTAATAATATTATTCCTCAAGTAACGCCGTTTATTCTGAAACTTTTGCTTTTGAAATTTGAATCTTCTTTCCCTCTTACAAAACCACTAGATTAACTCCCTTGATTTAATCTCAACGGCCACGATTTCTCCTCTTATTTCCTTCCTCGTGATCCCCATTCTCTTTATAAAACCTCCCATTTTTCTCTCTTTCTCTCTCATAAAACCCTCATTTCACTTTCTAGAAACTCCAATCAATCTTAGAAACTCCAATCAATCTCACCCTTTTTTCCTCTCTGAAACTTCTTCGTTAAGCTTTAATGGCGGAAATCGGAGAAAACAAAGCTCCTCATCCCGAAGGAGGAGAATCGTCGTTCATGGAGAAGATCGCTGAGAAGCTTCACTTCCATGAGAGTCACGACCAGGAGAAGAAGCACGAGGAAGAGAAGAAGCATGAGGAAGAGAAAAAGCATGATTCATCGTCGTCTTCTTCATCTTCTTCTTCCTCAGATTCTGAATCTGAGAAACCTAAGACGACGTCGTCCCCTTCTGCTCCGGCTCCTGCTGCTGCTGCTTCTTCTTCTGTTCAATCTAAGATCCGCCGTCTTTTTGGCCGTGAGAAACCTGTTCACCAAGTTCTCGGTGGTGGAAAACGTATGCACTTTTTCTATCTCTCTTCTGATTTGATTTTGATGCTCTTTGATCTTCATAACTCGATTTACTTTTAATCTGAGCTTTTAGTCTTTGATTATTAAACGGCAGATTTGTTTACATAATTTAATTATTCCGATTTGCGATTTGCTTTGATTTAATTTGCAAACAGTGAGATTGATTTTATGTATAAATCGATCGATCGATTAGAAATTGATTTATGTAGCAGCTTGTGTTGAATTTTTAATTGAAATGTATGATTACTGTTTGGAGATCGGAAAACGATATCTACAAAAACAATTGATGAATTAGAAATGATGAAACGAGTGTGAATGATGTTTGCAGCTGCTGATGTGTTCTTGTGGAGGAACAAGAAGATCTCAGCTACTGTATTGGGAGCAGCTACTGTGATTTGGATTTTGTTTGAATTGCTTGGATACCACCTGCTCACTCTCGTTTGCCACCTCTTGATTTTCTCTCTATCAGTGTTGTTTTTATGGGCCAATGCCTCCAGCTTTATCAACAAGTTATCTTCAAATTCGCTTTTGTTAACTACATTATCATTTATGCATTGAATTAGTTCATTTAATTGTTTGACTGTGGATGATTAATGTTTTGAATTCGAATCATAGGTCGTCACCGCCTCAAATCCCTGAGGTTACACTCCCAGAGAACATGATAATGGAAATTGTTAGCGCTTTTGTGTCTGAGTTGAGACGAGGACTTAAGCTGTTGCACGATGTTGCTACTGGAAAAGATGTGAAGCAGTTCCTTGCTGTATGAATCACTTTCCTTGTTTTATGTTGATGAATCACTAACCTTGTGTATTGAATAAGCTAGGTGTATCTGGTCATAATTTGATTAATGGTTATATCATTTGTTGTTTGCAGGTCATTGCAGGATTGTGGATATTGTCAATTGTTGGCAAAAGCTGTGATTTCTTGACCCTCTTTTATATCAGTAAGTGATCATATTGTGTTATTCATTGCTCTTGAATTCTAAGGTTATTTTGTGATTGTTTTTTAACTAATGTGACATTAACCATTGTCATCTGTGTATTGCTACAGATTTTGTATTGTTGCATACTATCCCTGTTCTGTACGAGAAATACGAGGACCATGTTGATGCATTCGCCGAGAGAGCAATGGGTGAGGCCAAGAAGCATTATGGTGTGGTGAATGAGAGGTACATTAGCAAGATTCCAATGGGACCTTTGAAAAACAAGAAGGCGGATTAGAGATGTTACACAAGCCTTAATCCACAAACAAGTGTTAGGTTTCCTAACTCTTGACTTATCCAAAGGTCGTTCGTTGTGCTACTCTACCTTTGGCATTTTCATTTTGGCTATTTGCATTTGACTTTCGGTGCCTAAAAATTGGTATTGCTGGGTTTAGATTGGAGTTGCCAGTTTTTGTAAGCTTTGTGGGCGTTGCTTTGTTCTTGTTTATTGACATTTATGGCACAGTAGAGCTACCTAATCTTGTTTATTCGTGGACATGGTTCTCTTGGCTTTGATAGGTAATAGTATTTGCTAGAGTTTAGTTGTGATGTATTAGTCACAATACATTGATCTGTTATCCTTGTGCCATGCTAATTATATACAGTACAATAGATTTTGGTACCTGCTTATTTTGATTTGTTTTCCCTTTGTTGATCACATTTTAATCTGCTTGGTTATTTCTTTGGATTTTTTTTTTATTTAAACCCTAAAGTGCTGCCGTTTTATCTGTCCATAGACTCTAGGGACTTGATTAGGTGGTCTTGTAGCAAATTTAATGGCTTAACTTTTAATTATCTCCCCTTTACATTTTGGCAATGTTTTACAGCCTTATAAAAGAGGGTTCCATCTGGTTCCATCAGTCTATTGTTGATGACTGCAGGAATCGAGGAAGCTTTACAGGTAAATTCCAGATTCACCCTCGTATTTTGAGTCTCTCAATGTCTCAGAGCCCCTTGCCCACTTGGGGGTTGAACTTTTACAGCATGTGTTAGCTTCTTAGCTAAGCTAGCTAATGTTCATGTATTATCACTTGTTCAGTTTATCTACTTATGACCTTGCGTCTATCTTGATTAAGGATACTATTATTGATCATGGTTGGCTAACCTTTTCTTTCATCCTCATTTATCATTGATCAATCCGTCCATAAAAAATTGCCCCATTTTGTTACTTGCATAATTTCATGTGGAAGGGAAAGATTGTGAAAATAATTTAAGAGAATGTAGAAACCGAGTTATTTCTGAAGGATAATTGTGATAGGAATACGACAATTCGTTAGGGGCGGAGGGTATGTCCTTGTGTCACGGTCCGGGAGTTTGGACCCCGAAACGTGCAGCGCGCTCTAACCTTTTGGCGGCAAGAACGCTAGCCTTGAGCGGAAGAGGGGCTTGTGAGCACAAAGCAACACAAGCGGGCAATAGAATCTCAGGAGCACTCACGTCTATCTGGGCGACGGAGTGCGGGTGGTCGGGGCTTGTGACGGCCGATACCTCAAAGCGGGCACAAGCGGGTCCGAACCACGAGTCCTTAGCGCATCAAGTTGGGTTGGAGGGGAGCTAATATGCAAGTAAGACACAATATCTATAAAGGTCTAACAACAAACAAGCATAAAAGCCAGGCAACACTTGGTAGAAGGTTTTAAGATTTCATTACTCATTCGCCCTCTAAAGAGCTTTAAATGACATACAAGGAGATTCCCTAGTGAACACTGATCTGACAGTAACACAATAATGGGATCTCAAGCTAAGAAAACATAACCTAAACTCTAGGAAAGCACTTAAATGGAATCTAATACATCAAAAGGAGTTGGATTCTAACATCCTCCCCTACTTAAGCTGTCGACGACCTCGTCGACTTACAAAAGTTACAATCAAAATTAGAAAACCCTAAACTATCTCAAGTTTCGGATGCGCCGTTGGTGCGGCTATCTTCTGGAATCTTATCCAGTGACAGTTGGTATCAGAGCAACACAAGCGGGCAATAGAATCTCAGGAGCACTCACGTCTATCTGGGCGACGGAGTGCGGGTGGTCGGGGCTTGTGACGGCCGATACCTCAAAGCGGGCACAAGCGGGTCCGAACCACGAGTCCTTAGCGCATCAAGTTGGGTTGGAGGGGAGCTAATATGCAAGTAAGACACAATATCTATAAAGGTCTAACAACAAACAAGCATAAAAGCCAGGCAACACTTGGTAGAAGGTTTTAAGATTTCATTACTCATTCGCCCTCTAAAGAGCTTTAAATGACATACAAGGAGATTCCCTAGTGAACACTGATCTGACAGTAACACAATAATGGGATCTCAAGCTAAGAAAACATAACCTAAACTCTAGGAAAGCACTTAAATGGAATCTAATACATCAAAAGGAGTTGGATTCTAACACCTTGTCTTGTCAATACCAAATTTTTCTCAATTGTTTATATCCAATTTATCGCCATGTCCTTGTACTATCCGAATGTACATTGTGTCGCCACTAACTTGACATGTTAACTATCATCACAATTATAGATTTCAACAGACTATTAGATGACAAGTAGGCTTTGATTCTCAGGTAATTGAATATATCCCGAAAGGATGATGTACACAACGCATAGATGGTTCAATGGCAATAAACAAGATTGGACACTGAAAATCATCCCAAATTGAACGAAGTTTTTACTTTTTACATGCTATGCTTTATCAAACTAAATCGGTAATTTTTGGAGAATGTACTAGTCTGAGAATGCAGATTGTATACATGGGATAACCGTTCAATACGACTTATTGGGGTAATAAATAAAATTCTATGACAAGTAACAATTTGATGTTTCGCTCTATCATCTAAATGGAATATTGAGGATCATATTTGCAATTGAATCAATATATAAATGAATAAAACATTACAAGAACAAAACCACAAATATAAGAAAACAAAAACTTCTACCTTTGGCTAATTACACGACCTTTGTATAACTGTATTCAAGTAAGAGCCTCAAACTATGAGAACTGCTTGCCTGAGGGTGTAAGAGGAACTGTGGAAAACTCAGCAGCAGGAAGGTCATAAGGTTTAGAGCTCTGATAGGAATGTGACGATCTTGATGTATCAATAGATGGATTTGTGGTAGAAAAGATAGGAGGACGTCCACTAGAAATTGCTCTTCGGTCAGGCAAAGCTGGAGGAGCAGTTGGGGTGCTTGAACTGCTACCACTAACATCTCCCTTTGATACTTCAGTGGATTCTGCGGACTCTCTCTTTTCTCTCTCTTCAGATTGTTTAAGAAGATAATCAACCCATAGATCCGCAAAAGACTGAAGGTAAAAACATATGGCAAGATGCTAAGAAAAAGCTCCAGGTCTGAGTCAAAAGAACTTAATTAAGAATCAACTAGTCAATTACCTGATTTTCTGAAGCCATATTTGCAGGTGTCCCTGCAGAACCTCCACCCATAAAGCCACCAACAAAGCGGCCAGGCAAACCCAAAACACCACGAACTACACCTTTTCCACCTTGCTGAGCAGCGCCTATTCGCTGCTTATCCTCGTCTGAAAATCCCAGCATGCGAACCATTAGATCAAGTACCTGCCCAGTTTCAATGGTTTACCACTATTAACATTCAAAATGAGAATTTTAATTCACATAAATGATCCGCAATACATGGCAACAATAAAGATTGAGGTGGTAAAATAACTATGTACCTCTTTGCTGTGGTTTCTCTGGAAGTATGTCACAAGCAACTTGATGACAATGCGCCTGAAAATATCACAAAAAACACTAGTTGACCCTAAGAAGATTGTTGCCACATCCAACAGTTCTTTTACACAACAGCAGAAAGATGAAGCATCAGGTATGAAATACTGCACAAAAAAGTAGTCCACGGTTCCAAAATGCAAACCTGTCGACAAGAAAATCAGAATCCACTGACATCCTATTGAGCCTTGTCATGCTTTGCTCTAGCGCACGACGGAGTTTTGCATTGTCCTCCTCAAGCTTATTTACCCTATTCTTCCATTCTGCTACTGATTTGTCTGCTTGGGCAAGCTTGGCTAAAATTTCTTCCTTCTCCTTGTTTGATGCTTCAACTTGCTGTTGTGATTCCTGCAGTATATATGGCATGTTATTTTCTGAAACAAAGTCACAGAAACATTTCTACTCTCTTTACTGAGCTACTAAGAATTAATTATGAAAATTTATTGACAAGTTATAGAGAGAGCAAGTACAACAAATCTGAAACTTTCCCCCCTTTGGAATTCCTCCATATGCAATCAAATGATAGATAGATTGGCACGTTTAATTTTACTAGTATTTCAACTGGAAATTTGAATATGTGAGATGAAAATTCACACGTGGTCCACAACAAGCGAATCTTGGCTTTCTTTGAAAGCGCTATGGCACAAAGAATTTTCAGGTTTCAACAAGAAGTCAACAATGCATCAGGTTTTGAAAATCAACTACTGAACTACATGCACACTACAAGTTGATAAATATAACACATATTTAGAGCTCTCTGCATGGTACTGTTACACGTGAAAGACGCCAAAGAAAGTACAGACTTAAGGCTGTTAATATGGGATGGCGCACAGACCTGCAGAAGTTGTGAAAGCTTTGAACACTCCTCTCTGGATAGCGATAGGTCACCTTCCAAACGCTCCTGTAAATAAAAGTTTCACAATTTGGGCATGAAAGGTCTGCAAACAATGCATTCTGAAGCACATATAACAGAAAGAAGATTTGGGACCAAGTTAAGACCTTTGCTTCAATTTCAGCATAGTATTGTCCAAGAGCAGTTTGCAAGTTCAAAATTTCTGTATTTTTGGCATCAATGACACCCATGAAGCTACCAAGCTTCTTCTTCAAGTCCTCAATTATTTCCTTTGACTGTTGTAGTTCATGATCATTCATCATCTTGATCTCCTCCTGACTTGCACGAGCTTGCCCCAAAGTTCTTTCCAAATTTGAGATTGTTACTTTTTGGTATTCAACATGCCGTCGAAGCTCCTCAATAATTTTACTATCCTCATCCATCTTTTCTGATTCTTCCAATTCCTAAAGGGAGGTAGCACACAAATAGCTTGAATATTGGCGACATAATGCCAGATAATTGAAGGGGTCTGTTGCACACATTCACAAGTTACCAGTTCTATAAACTTCACCAACATCCATTTTTTACACCCAACTAAAAGTCTTGTTCTGATTTTAAAACAACATAGCACAATTACGCTTAAACAAAAATTTAATAGAACATGTAAACTATACAATTTATTCTGACTTGATGAAATATGATGAATGAAAAGAGACAAAGTCCATAGAAAAGAAATGTTGAGCTAATTCAGCCACAAAATTGGTTTATGTACTGCTAACAAACAAATTCATATTAAGAGGTAAAGATTATGAAGCACACAACCTTATCCAATAAGTGTTGCTTTAGGCGAGCAAGCTCTTGTTTGGCTTTATCCCTTCCTCGACGTGTTTCTTCAAGTTCTTTCTCAATCTGTTTTAAGGAATGCTCTAATTCAGCTTCACCAGGGAAGCTCGTAAATGCATGTCCATCCTACATGTAGACTATGTATTAGTTAAACTGGAATAGCATTGACAGTGAAGACCTACATGGTTTTCAAGAAATAACATCAGCATAACATATACATTACCTCAATAAAATTGCTATATTGCAGCTTCCCTGCTCCAGTAGTATCACTAAGTGTGGATTCAAGTTTTTTCTTCTCTGCCTAGAATTAATCTGAGAATTTAGTTCCTACACTTCTACTAACATAATACGAAGTAGTACTTCACTACTTATCATTTAATCTGTTGAGAAAATGCAAACAACAAAAGGAAAAAGATGACCAACCTTTAGCTCGACATTTTCCTTCTCCAGGCTTGATATTGTTCTTCTCAGGTCGTCTGTATCATTTGCTCCTTCACTCTGTCTTCTACGAAGTTCCATTTGTAATCGTTTAATTTCCGATTCTTTTTCGTCCACCTCTTGACGCAGCTTATTTACCTCAAATGATGTCTGCAATTCACATACATTAATTCCACAATAGTTATTTTAAATATACTTCAGTACATGTAGCCAAGATAAAAAGTCAGATGGGTACATTAAGCCAAGAGACTAATGCAGCCATTTGATAATATCTAAAACCTTTCCGCATAAAATGATTTTAAAATCCACTCTGACTAGTGACTACCATATATATAAAAATTGAGCCACAAAGCAACATAGTTTATGTTATCAGAACTTACGAGTTTATTTATGTACAGAGTATTCTAGTCCATGTATGGAATGATGTCAAAAGGATATTGTCATGATAAAACAGAGCAAAGATCTATAAGAACAGTGTTTTGATTAAGTTAACAGAGGGGAGACTTGGAGTGTGAAGAAAGGGAAAAGTAAAATTTTGTTTCCAACATGTCTCGCTTTCAATCTAAATTTCTAGAAATAGGATATTAAAAAAATTTCTAAAGATTATCAGATCAACACTTCAGTATACATTCAATGAAAGGATCCTCCACACCATCATCCCATTAAGAAAGAGAATGCACACACGAGAATAGATGGATCCATCAATAGCAGCAAGACGCAAAAGTGAAAACAAAATAATAGGCACCAATGTCATGTCAACATGTAATTCACAATAACGCTCAAATTTAAAGCTACACCCGTAAAAGATGGAATTAATCCAGCAGAACTATTCATGTCTATCTTTAGAGAAACAGAAACAATATAATTTTTTCCTTGAATTTGAGTCAAAATAGAATTCATTACTTACTTCATTATGTCCCGATTTCAACAACTTGAGCTTCTCTGTTAATGAACCACTCGTCTTTACTTCGTCTGAAAACAGCATCGAATGATTAATGCAAATTAAGCAACAGGGGAGAAGGAAGGAGATTGTACATGCGAAAGAAACCTTGCAATTTGACTTTTGTATTCGCCAATTCTGCACGATCTTTTTCCAATTCTGCTTCCAATTTTTTCACCTGTAACTCGTGATCCTTCTGCATTGCAGCTAGAAGTCTGTTTTTCTCTTCTAACATATCTGCAAGCTCCTAGAAGTCATTTATTTTTTGTTAAAGCTATTTCCAAGTACAAGCAATAACTGAGAAAATCTCCAAAGAACATATAGCAATAACCAAGATCAGCAATCACATTAAAAATGTGCCATATTCTCTATGATAATGTCAATTAACAAGAAATAAAAGGCAGAAACAACAAAAAGAATTGAGGACAGAAAACAGTGTAGTTTCAACTTGTTTTCATCCACTCTTCCAATACCCATTGTGTGTTAGCTTGTGCATTTTTAAAAGGCGGTTTGTGCATGAGTAAAAATTTTAAGAACAATGCAGAACAGAATGTGCATTACCTTTTCACGACGGGAATCTGAATATTTGGAATCCGAATCAGCTTGATTTGTATGTAAAAAACCATTGCTGATCCCATCCTGTTTAGAAACAACACCATTTTGCCACTGATTCCCACTAGAACGATTTCTAGCAGAGGTTCCATGCTTGTTCTGCCGGCTAGGAGATTGCTCTCCACTTCCCTACATCAAACAAAAAGTTGGTACAATGACTACAAAAGATAACAAGAGAATACTAAAAATTGCCATATATTAAATATTTTTTTTAAAAAAGGGCAAGCTATACATAGACAAAATGGAATATCAGAAAGACATATAACACCAACTTCAGTGACACAGAAACAATACCATTCTGTACGGTAATCTTAAAGAGTTAAATGATGATTTAATAAGATACACACTACCCAACCTCCAATGTAGAAAAGATAGAAGGTGGGAAAGGACACGAGCAAAAGATGGTCGGCAACTAATGCAGAGCCGAAGAAAGAGAACCATTCAAATAGAACAAATTAAAAAAAGATTCTCCTATCCAAGAATGATTACAATATTAGTTTTACAATATTTCTTAGGTAAGTCATGGAGATTTGATAAAGAATACTTCAGACATTCAACCCTTATACGATGAAGAATGTTTCAAACAGTACCTTCTGCACATCCATACTACTTGTTGATGCTCTCGAGGCTTCATTACGGGCGGTACTCAGGGCAGCATTTGTTACTTCCAGATTTTGTTTTAACGAGCCATTTTCTTGATACAGTCTGACTATATGATCCTGTCAATTCAGTTAAAAAATTCAATTAAAAGCTCATAAGGACAAAGAGATAACACAGCAAACACAAAAATATTTCCGCACAAGGGAATATCACCTAAATAAGCAGAAAGGTAAAGGCAAACAAAGTCATGACAACCAGAAAGTAAAATGAGCCTAAAAATTCACCATAGCATTATTCTGGAATTATGTGGTTCAGCTATTCTGACTCTACAGTACAATCTTTGTCAGCCACTTTCACACAGAGTAGAGCTATCAGCAGATACATAGGTCATAGGTAGAATTGTAAGGAAGAGGTTCTTGAGTAGTCTAGTATAAAAAGACAACAATTGTGATCATGTTGATAAAAGAATAACTGAAAATTCAAAAACTATCTGACAACATATCCAGTGTCTATCTAGCTCCATCAACTCTTACACAGAATAGTGATGCACCAAAAAAATTTGCAAATGCATGAAGAACTTTAAACATTCAAGCACCAATTTTTGAGAATTTCCAGAGGGCCTTATGTAAGGATGCTCCCAAGAGTTTATTAATCTCCAAACAATCCATAAGAAAAAGCAACCAAAAAACCTCCTCTTTTCCATGTGACTATCTACAATAGAGAAAAGGATCATTCTAGAAGGTTATGATTTACAGGTCTAGACTGGCTTATTATTTATATAGAATTAAAAGTTTACTAGTTCTAAAGCTCAGTCTATCATACATTTGAGGTTGCTAGATATATGGTGTTCAGACAGCCTGGTTTCACAAGTAGATGATGAAGAAATATAACTTCTCGTGTTTTCATACGAGCCACCAATCACCACTTGTCTTTGAAAGGTTGACTTCTCTAAACTGCACAAAAAGACTAGCTGAATTTAAAACTGTCAGATATGTCATGGACAACACTAACAGAGCTTCTCACTCAAAAATCCTTATATAAGCACAAAACTACTAGCCCGACATACAGAGTTTCATCAGATATTCACTCATGAAAAATTCCTAACCCTAACAGATAACCTTTAGGTTTTTTTTTTCTTTTTTTTTTTTTTTGTTTTTGGTGGAAGATAACCTTTAGTTAGTGGATCCTATTTCACTAATTTACAGCAAAAACCAGTTAAAAAAAAAAAAAAGGTTTTATTCTATCAAAAGCTGACCTGGAGCAATCTTCACATGTCAGGAACTCAGAATAACTCCAGGCATAACTACTATTAATAACAAAATTAAGCACCAATTGCCTAAAGCCTTTTTGAAAAGTGAGAAAATTCAATGTAAGGGATCATTCCATACAATGCCAATAATTGTGTGCCTTTGAGCACAGCACACTCTAAGCCATTTTCGAGAGCCCCAAACATAGAGCATCTAGCATATCTAATAGTTGTAGCTCATAACATCGGTCATTATTCTGCAAAAAACTTATCTTGCAATTAACAATTATTGTAGTTTAGGTGACTTGCATCTTATTCCCAAATAACCCTTCCATACCAAAGCAAATATCCTAATGGGTGTATGACCCAAATCGAGTGGTGTATCAGTGTATGAATGAAAAAGTTAATTGTATGCTTAATGAAAATTGTAAACACATCGTCTATACCTCGTCTATAATAACACATACCACAAGTGCAATGTGTCCCCCTTTCCCTTTCTCCCTTTATTTTTACCTAATTACCTAATTCACGTATTTAATGTATCACCTAACTTAATACCATTTATGGGTGTATTTCAATGGTCACTCCTTCTTGGCCAAAATGCTAGTTAACATTAACAGAGCAGCAAGAATGAAAGATATTAGGTAGACATTGCAATTGTTTGTTACATAGTAATTTGGATGGTCCATTTAGGCAAGACATACAAAATTAGAAGCTTACAGGATCCACTCTGAAACACTAAAGTGCGAAACCAATATCCTTCCTCTTGGATAACATTCTACTGAATATTTATCATATATTGATTATGATGCAGAAAAAAGAACCAGATATATGCCAGTCATCAACTCAACATCTGCTACTCAGTTATTACGAAATTCTTAACATAGAGCTTTATAACTAGCACAAAATAAGAAACACTCTGAGTGAATTCAATATCATCAACCGTTCAAAACCTACAATCTCGCTGTTCCATCCATCAACTAAAGCTAAGTCACTTACAAGTGAACATATTCAACCTCTATCATCAACACTAGTTCTCTTGTATTGTCCGCTGTGGAGAATATTGGCCGAAATCAAATACACGAGATGCATTTAGATTTGGAATTCAGACATGGACTTGGATTAAAAAGGACAATTAAAGAACAACATTTGGTGAGTGCAATTGACGATCCTGAATTCAGCAAGTAAGAAACTGACCTCTTTTTCTTTCAGCAAAGCTGCATAATTAACTGATAGTGCCTTAATTTCTGCCTCGGAATCCCTAAGCTTCTTAATCTCCGATTTATACCGCTCAATCTACATGCACATTATCAAAATAACCAAAATTCAAAACATAACACTAAAATTCAGCAAAAATTAAAGTCATCAACTCAAAAAACTTAAAATTATGATCAAATTACATCAAATTTAAGTACTAAGCTCAAACAATCGAAAACAAAAGTGAAGAACAAAACTCAAGTACCTCAGAAACGTAAGGAGAATCATTTCCATTTGACAAATTCGGAGAATAAGAAGGCGATTTGGAATGAGCAAGACTGTGAGAACGCCTTCGATCAGAGTAAGGAGAATCGTAAGCATGGATCGAAAGTTCATCTTCATCGTCGTCATCATCGTGGACATCAAGAGCAATTTTATTTAGGTTTTCTTTCAAATTAGCAATCGAACTCCACATAATTCGACTTCAATGGAAGAATCAATGAAGTTGAAATGGAAATGTGTTTGAAAATTGCAGGAAAATTTCGGAAGTTTGAATATTGGTGTGAAGGAGTGAGGAGAGAGAACGATAGATCTGGGAGAAGAAGTTGAGGCTTGGTGGTGGAAGCCTGGTAGGAGGAGAAAGGTACTGAGTAATAGTAATTTGATGTTTTAATGTAATGCGGGTAACAACTAAGAAACCACGTTTTTGTGTTGTTGATATACGTGGATACGGTCTTCGCTTTGCGGATTTTCCTTACGTTGTAAGCCATGGGTCACAATTGTTAACCAAGTGGAATGCACACGTGAAAAATTGGAAATTTCATTTTTTTTTTCTTTTTTTTTCTCAATTTGCTAATTGTATTTTTTATAAATAATAGTTTATGAATCTATAGAAACTAGTGGTCTAATACCTTGATTATATTCGAGAGTATGTTTTTTCGATTAAAGTTTCGAGCTTGTTGAGACGACTAATACCTTGATTATATTCGAGAGTGTTTTTTCGATTAAAGTTTCGAGCTTATTGAGGCGAGCTCAACGGATTCTCATGCTATTTTATTAGAGGATCTTAATGAAGTGACTTAGCCTAGATAAGTGTCAAGAGAGTAGTCTAGTTGTTTTTGTTTTTGTCCTTTGTTTTGTTTCTAGGTGTGCTTTGTTTGGTTTTTGTTTGTCTGTTTTTGGGGCTTGCCCCTCTCCTTCACCAAAAAAAACACGAGGGTATGCACATCTCAATTAGTATAAGCAAGCATTTCATCATTGTTAAAACTATTTGTTGTTGGGCATTTCATTGATCAAGGGAGCAACACATTGTAGGTGAAGTTTTGTGAACGAATTGTATTTGACATTTAATGATTTATTAGGTTTTGTTAACATCGTTGGGGAATTTAGGGTCTATCCAAGGTTGAGGTTGGTGAGTGATCGTGGGAAGGAAAGTTGTTGTTGGTGCCGTAGGAAGCATTGTTTACATGCTTTTGTTTATGAAATTTATTTTTATTCATAATATTCGTACTTATTTACGTAATTTAAAAAATTGAGGAAATGAAGGAAAGCAGGGTAACATGGTTTTCCATCAACAATATTATTCTTGCCACAACCAAAAAAGTAGCAGTATAAACAATTGTAAATAACAAAACAACCAAATTGTATAACCAACATAACCTAAAACCAGGTTTCAAAAAACTTATCACTCAAAAATAATTTTGTTTGCTACTCTGTACTTTTTTTGAGGGAAATTTTGTTTGCTACTTCAAACTTTTTTTTTTTTTTTTTTTTTTTTTTGAGAGAGGCTTTTATTTAGTTAAAGAAGATTAAAGAAGATAACTACTACTAAAGTCTGATTATATTGATCCAAAGCCCGAAGCATGTGAATAAGCAAATTTGGATGAAGAAACAAATGGGCCAAGCCCAAGGGTAATCTGACCTGAACTCCCTATCAGCAGTCCGCACTATATATTACATCCACCACCTTCTCCCAAACTCACCAATCCTCCCAATCTACAATCGTCTTCTTCAACTACGCTAGGGTTTCTACACGCCGCTCTCTCAGTAGCTCATCTCTTTTTCACTCTCAGTCAACAATCAATCTGATGAGAAGATGCGGTGACGAGAAAGATTACAAAATCATTTGATAATCTCTTGTTAGTTTTACATGATATCTCATCTAATCTATGGTTCGTATTCCCTGAGCATCTCTCTCATTTTCTTCAACTCTCAATTTTTATTCTTCTTTTTTCAATTTTATTTTTGAATTTTGAAATTAATTTGCAACGAAGGACCTATAGGAGGGTTTGCTAAGTAAATTGCAATCTTCATCCAAGTTTACCTTCGAAAACTTCTCGAAAACAGATTGCCGGTTCCGACTTTTTCTTTTGTTTCGGTTCCGTCTCATTTTTTTCACACATGTTTTTTTTTTATTATTAATTAATGATATGCCTACGTTTGCAAGTTCGTCGATCTATAATATGTGGTTTGATGAATCTATCAATAGGCTAAATTAAAAAACCCAGTATATTTACTATGTATGTATACTGGGCTTCCTTTAGCTCCGATTTTTCTTCCATTCAATTTTTTTTGATGGCATAGGATTTTTCGGTGACAAGGTAGGTACATTTCTATTAAATATTTTGTAGTATAAATTGAATTTGAATGCATAATGTTAAATGATGACTCTTAAAGACGGATTCCCACTGAGATTTTTTCACAGATTTTTCTGTGAATTAATTGATTATAACATCTTTCCTGATACATTATGCTCTTTTACGAAAAAATATTGCAAATTTATTTTATGTTCTTCTGAATTTCGAATTGGTAATTTGGGTGGCCGGTGATGTATGATAATATTTGCTACTCTTGATGGGATTTCTACGGGAATTTCATTTGATGATCTTTTATCCACCAAGATCTCTGAGGTCACTCAATTTAATCATCATTTTAACTTCTTTTTTAATGAAATAATTTGTTTTGATAACGATAATGGCGAAGGTCCCAGCAGGGAGGTGAGAAACTCTATGAAAATTGAGACCTCTTTAACACAAATTATAACCTTCGCACATGAAATGCCGAAATATAAGATGCCCAAGTGCTTAATATTTGGATCATCTCGAACCCTCGGCTAAATTTTCCAATTACCAGTTTCGCATGGCTCTCTTTTTAAACCAGAATTTACAAAAATAATTTTGCAATGAGTATGAGATTGCGGGAGAAGAGCTCGCCTGGCATATAACACATTCAAGAAAAATTTGAGACAAATTGACAATACTAAAAGAAAAAAATTAGGATGACGTACAAACAGTATCAAATGTGGACATTTTTTTGTTCGTGGAGTAACTTGATGAACATTTTACAGAGGCTGGAGTAAGCTGAGTGACTGAGCTAGATACCCAAACGGTTGTAAATTTAAAATGTGTTGGAATTCTAAGTCATCATACGGACGGTGAACAAAGGACAAACGTGCACTCTTCATAATAGTGTAGAAATTTGCTTAGAAAGGGCAATTAAACATTTACATTATCATCGGGGCAACCGGGCAAGGAGGCCTAGAAGCGCAGGAGCTGATCGAGAACTTGTGCATCCATTAGGCTACTCGTAATTGTGTAAGCTATTTATGAGTTTGTGCTGTGAAGCAAACCATCATCTGAACTTCCAAGTGTGATCAGATACATAAATTACAAACATTGTGCCATATATTCCTCAAGAACTGAAAGTCTGAAACAATCCTGGATCAATTGAAGCTGAAAACAATCCAGATAATGAGAAGATAAGAAACAGATCTGGCTGATAAAAGTTTCTCTAAATTTTCATGGAATAAGACCTAATGTTAGAACAAATTTGGCAGTGGATCAACTAGGATGAGCACCTTGACAAAATAGAATAAACAAGAATTCAAATCCTTTGAGGGCTGTGGAGCATGCACTTGCCATGGATGGAAGCAGAAGCGAGGTGATGTGCTTGAGAGCATCTCCTTTTCTCACAAGAATCAAGATATTTCTTGCTTTGCCATCGTTGTTGGTTGATATCTGTCACAACACCTTGCTGTTCATTAAGGATGTGCACAGCTGAATTATCTTTGCCTAACAGAGTCTAGCAGCCACAAGAACACACTTTGCTGTTCATTAAGGATGCACACAACTGAATTTCAGCAGTTCCTCTATAAAGTTGCGGGGAAACCAATTAATGTTATTGAAGTGTCATCTACGCTGCACAAGATACGATCCCCATACTTCGTCTGCTGGAGGGGGTGGTTGAACCCAGTGACTTGGAATACGACTGAAACACATAAAAAACATTAGTCATTGTGAGGATGATCAAGTTTTGCTCATGTCATGTGATGTGACAAAGTTTTACACTGGCAGTCACTGGCCTACCGAAACCCTCCTCCTTTATCCAGGCTCGGGACTGGCAGCGGGAAAACCCATTGGCGGACCCCACTTATGGGATTAAGGCTTTGATTGATTGATTGATTGTGAGGATGATCAAGAAACACACAATGCAGTAAGTGCAACCAATCACTTGGAAAAGGGGCAGCATTGGGTTTGGTTCGATTTCGATATAGGTGATGCAGCTAAATCAAGAACTAAGGATAGTTGAACCATGGGTTCTTTTTAGTAGATTTAATCAACAATGTCTCCAATTATTTAAGATCCTAACTGTATTCTATGATCTTTCCCAAATGGTTATAAATATATTAGAAGTCTAAAAGGTTTTAGAACAGCTTTAATTTTCTCTGGTTTGCGCTATTCCTATCATTCACAAATCATACTATATCAACTCTTTTTAAACAAAATTTAATCCACAAAGTTAGAGCAAAAGGACCACAAGTGTAAGGTGCAGAACAATTCTCACCTTCCCCCAGGCCTTATGTATGCATCCCATGTTCTCCGAACCTGCAAAAAAAGTTATAGAGGAAAAATATGTCAAAACACAAACTCTGTACTTATTTGTATAGTTTTTGGTCCACAGTTGTGCTAGTGTGCTACCAAATAAAGAACACAAAATAAAGAAAAAAAAAAAAAATCAGTTGTGTTAAAGTAAGAAAAGCAAGAATAAAGCTAATGATGAACTTAATGCTCATTACAAATAAATCAAAGTGCAACATGAATCAGATTGATTGTGACTCCATTGCCTGAGAGTTGAAAAATCTCTGATACTATGTTTGATCATCAACCAGACCTTTGTGTCTGAAATTGGATAACTTCAATAATGCAAATTGGACAGACAGAAATAGTAGTGCTTAGCACTATCACTGGTTAGGTCTAGATGTCCAGAAGGGCTTCTAAATTTCCGTTGTCCCCAAAGATTAAGACCAAAGGAATTTAATTCACTTCTCCAATCTCTCCTCACTCACTTTTCGAATGAGTTCTTAAGTCCTTGCATCCTATCACAAGACTCTTTTCCAAGAGTCCTATGTCAAACAGATGCGAGATGAGGTATTAACATAGGCATGCCATTAGTTGAAACCTCTATAATCAATGCCTGATTTTTATTCTAGAAGCCATTATTCTCTTAATCCACCTAGAAAAACTTTAACCCGGTTAGTTTATCTGTAACGAATCCATAACACAATATAAGCATAACTCATGATGGAGTAATGGTAAGTCAGTAAGTCCCCAAGTTTTATCAGAATAGGTCAACCACAAGAACCCTGTGGTTATCCTAATAGGTAACTAAAGCATTATCTGGGATCAACAACATGCTACATCAAGTTTCATCACACTTGTTTGGCATGAGCATAGCACTTTTAAGGCCACAATGGCTGCACAGATTATGAGCAAACAACGAAGTTCCTGCCATGCACCCATTTACAAAATATTACTTTTACGCTTTTCTAAGGTTTTTATTTATTATTATTTTTTAAAATTTTAATCATGGGATGCCTCATACTCATGTTTAGTTTACCAAAAGACGATTTAAAAGATTTGTCGAGATGGTATAAGAGAGTCACAATGAAATCTATATTAAACCTAGAGTGAATTTGGAAATCAATTGTAAATTACCTCAATCAGAGTACCCATGTCAGTATTACTTCCATGATAATAGTGATAAAACTCCGGGGGTAAATTAGCCACATAGTCATATGCACCATGGCTTTGTCTATCAGAGCCTTGATTTTCAGTTTCTTTGCTAGTGGAGGCAAGAGAGTCAAGCCCACTTTTACTCTGAGTTCTCTGTTCTTCACTTTCTTCACCAATATCCTTACTGGTTTCAACCTTTGGTTCCAACTTGGAGCCCTGAGTAAATTTTCTAGATTCTTCAGCAGCTGCAATAGCATTCTTAGCTGAACCTGTTGCTGCAGCAGCCTTTGCTTGGCGCTCTTCCTCTTCAACTGCCGCTCGAACTCTCTCAAGAAACTTGTCATCTTCTTCTGGAAGAAAATGGCCTGCATGATTTTCACGCCAGTGTCAGCATACATTACTATGAAGACATTGATGGGGCCCGTTATCTTCAATGTAAGTAAATGATTCAAGATTCATACCTTGTTTTTTCAACTTCTGTATCCTGACAGAGCGCAGTTCTTGTAACTTCTCAACCATCAATGCCAGCTCAAGCTGAAACATAGAAACATGTTTTGTTCAATGCATAATTGTAAGAGAAAAAAAGCTTTCTGTATCGTCAGACTCCTAGAATGCCAATAGATAAGGCTAAATCAAGAAAAGAATGCAGTTGGTCTGTGTGATTATAGACATTAGGCTAAACCAAGAAAAGAATGCAGTTAGAAAGCACCATGTATGAGGAAAAAAAAAGAGGAAGAGGGTGGGAGGGTGAGAAATGAAAGAAACTGAATTTAGATTTTGGGAAAATAGCAGATAATATATGTTAAGGGCATAGTGAAAAGGACGGTATGAGTCACATAAATTATAATCTAAGCTTAAAAATATTTGAAAAATTTTGCCCTAGCTGAAGATAACTTGACATCAAAGTCAGTAATCCATATAAAGTATCACATAGCAACTCACCTTAAAAAACCAATGCAAATGTTTCTAACATATCTAGAGACTAAAAAGAGAATATCTAAACAAAGAATGGTATTAGGTTGAAACTTGAAAGCATTTATTTTAGTTTTAGAAGGAATAATATGTACGTAATACTTCTAAACATGCATTATTCTCACCTCAGCTTCCAATTTCTTCCGCTCCTCTTTAGCCTTCTGCTTTGCAATTACTTTCATTTTTTCTACCTGCATATAGTCAGGAGATTAACGTAAAAACCAGTCCTGTTCAAGAGAACACATATTAAAACAAGTAACATATGGTAAAATTAGCCACTGACGAAGTTAAGGGATCATGTATTCTCAGCAACTGGCTCTGTTCTGCAGAAAAGCATAGTATTCTAAAATTAATGCAAGAGCAAAAATGGTGTTAAGACAGGAAAGTAGAAATACCAAACATGTGAAGATGGTAAGTCTTAGGACCAAATAACAGATGGCAACTCATAGACAGCTAAGACATCAGCAAACTATTTTGACATATCTAAGCAGATATTATCCCCGCTAAAACTAGAGATTGAAGTAGCAGTTGATGTATGCTTATTATAGACAAGGATGACTTAATATGATAGAAAGAGGTAAATTCCAGTATCATGCAGCTGAAAATAAGGACTTGTGGAAATTCAGCTTTGTATAGATAGCTACCATCTCCCCTATGATTCTCTCTCTGCAGCGGCCTGACCGCCTGAGTATATGCTATCAAACAATAAATTACATGCGGATTCTTCCATTTCACTAGTATTAAAATAACTCGCATCCACATTTTGTCAAATAATGCTCAACACAAAATAATCAGACACCCATGATCTCTTAAGGATAATTAGTTCTACTACTGGCAAAGTTAAATGCATCCAATACAAGTACTACATCTAAAAACTGAACTCTGAAGCACAAATTGTCAAACCAGAAAGACAACAGAAAACTGAACAATTAGACTAAGCCAGGTAGTTTTCTACTAGTAAAAGACCTACCACAGAAAACTAACAATGTCGTTAGAAATTAGATTCACCATATGTTAGTTCATATGAACCTCTATCACCTTAAGGCCTACTTTTTATGAATTAAATGGCACAGAATGCATAAGAATATTCTAAACCAACAACTAACAGTCCCATTTATACATGGCAAGTGAATGCAGCAAATGGTACCTTTTGTTCTGCCATATCCTTGGCAATTTCTTTAGCCCTCCATTCATCAGCTTCTCGGTCAAGTTTCTTGAATTGCTCCTCCTCCTGTGAACCATTAAGAAAATCAGTTAACATAAACATACTCCATAACTTGTAATTCAGGTCAATAGCCTGATATCAGCAGTAGAATGCAACCTTAGCAAGTGATTCAGCAACACGACGTCTCTTCCTCTTCCTCCACAACTTATTGCGTTTTGACTTGTTAATTTTGTCACTCAATCTAACAACAGCAGATTTCTCCTCCCATGGGGTCCCATCATCAGTAACAAACTTGAGAGGTTCAAGCAGAAACCGCAATTTTGACATTAACCCATTTGCAGCCTCCATTAAAATCAACTCTTGGGCACCCAAATCAATCCTATTATCCTCAAAAAACCTACAAAAGTCATCAATTTTTGAACTATCGATTGACCCATCAACACCATCATCATCATTATCACTCCCCTTCCCCACACACCCTTTTACTTCCTTAACCTTCATCAACATATCCAGCTCTTTTTGCCTACCATAAACAACCCACAAAACAAAAACAAAAAAGACCCAATTAAATTATTACAACTTTTTCAGCATTTTTTCAACAGAGATTAAGGAAATTAGAGGAAAACTTACATTGCATTTGCGAGAGAGAGGGTTTCATGTAATTCTTTAAAGTGGTGTTGAACATTCAAGGGGTTCCAGAAAGTAGTAGAAGGAGGTGGGTTTGGAGGAATTGATGGGCCCCATTGTTGAGGAGGAAGAGAATGCCCCATTGCTTGATATTGAATTGGGTTCATTGCAATCAACCACCAAATCTGCCGCAAAACTTGAAGGTGTGATTCTTGGATTGCGGCGGCGCCGACTTGGTCTGACGGATGAGAGGGCGGAATTTGCGGCGGCGTCGCTGAGTTGTTGGCGAGGGGTGGAATTAGAGCGCTGTGATGAAGGTGTTGATGCAGAACTGCAGAAGTAACATGAAGAACCAAGTAGAATGTGAGTTTAGGCGGAGGTTTAACTAGAATATGTATTTAGAGTGATGAAAAGTAGCAAGAAAGTCAGGATGGCCGAGTGGTCTAAGGCGCCAGACTCAAGTTCTGGTCCTCTAACGAGGGCGTGGGTTCAAATCCCACTTCTGACAATTATATTTATTTTTATTTAAAATTAAATTTTAATTGTGTGTTTTCTGAGTATCAGACTATCAGTCAGCCTTGTAAGGGATTATGTCTCTAATTTCAGATTTTTGGCCTCTAATTATGTCTCTATGATACAAGGTTTTAGGGAGCTCATTCTAATATTTTTAGAGACCTATAATTTTTAGTTCAACGTGTTTAGTTAGGAATAATTGAATAAGCTTACCCGTAATCAATAAGTATATAAATTCATGACATAAATCGGTCATCTATCTTGAGTAACTACTTGCTCTATTACATACTTGATACTCCGTAGTCCGTACCAATTACTTTTGGCTCAAACACTACTCGGATCTTCTCAATCAAGGATAGTAGTGTTTGCCCATTTTCAACCTCTTATCGAAAACTCAACATCAAGAAACCATGCATATTAACCAAATGCCTTGTTGATGGTCCCAAAAGCTTGGGTTGGTTGGGCAAAATCCTTTAAAATGAGCCTCACGTGAAATCGACGTTCATTTATTGACGTTCCGTAACACATGAAGCCATACTATTGATGTTTAACTTCTTTAATTTATGGCCTACAATTTAACGAGTACAATGTACACGAAGAAATTAGTCCTGTAGTTAGGGGTATAAATCAACAGTGTCAATTGCACACAATGAACCCAAAATATAGCAGTTTTATGCCCTTACTTTATGGGGTAGTAACAATGATATTTGATTACCTTTTCCAACATGATCACGCACCCTTGTCCTTGGTCTCCCTCTTTCTTCTCGTCTCTTCTTTCGCATCCATGTTTCTTTCATGTAATCTTAAATTGATGATTATACAATATGATATGGGTTTAGATTAAATAATAATCAACTCTGTTTTTCCTACCTATGGAGATATTGCAATTGACACATACTCATAGGTATTACATACACTAGTAAGCAATGTTAATATGCAATTGAATATGTCTTACATTATATGGCTTGTATATAATAGATAATAGGATTAATCGCCTCAAATCACATAATATTTACTTAATTATTTGTAAAGTTAACTTATGTGTATGTAGTATATCGCTCCTATATTGTATTAAAATTAATCTCCAAACAACCTCACTTTTGTGGTGACAATACAACATACATAATGTTTTTTAACTAATTGATAAACATGTAGACAACCAAACTTTATCGTCAATACTTCTTTGATTAAGAAAAACAATTCTCCGTAGTACTCCGACATACTCAAAAACATTATACGTAGTATGTTGGTATTAAAAATACTTAGATATTTTATTTTTGTGTGTATACAAACTACAAAGAGACATAAAGATTAATTGAAATATATGAAATTTGATTTTTTTTTTTTTTTTTTTTTTTTTTTTTTCTTGATTGGTGTCTTATGCTATGTCTTAAAAAGGTGATAGTAATTAACTATTGTTGTATCATACATTAATCAGCAAAGAAGATATATACATCTGAAATACTCCTTATCCTTGTTGCCTGTTGTTAATAGCAAGTAGGGACAGAAAAACCAAAGATCTTAGCTAGGGGACATACAATCAGGTTGTGTCCAAGCTAAGATGTTGGCTATTATACCCACACTATCTCTCTCTTCCAGTCCTAATTGGCTCTAATGAGGTTAACTTCTTGTTACACCATATACGGAGTTACAATCAAAGAGAGAGACAACTAATAAACTAAACACAAGAAAAACACGAGACCATATAATACTACTTCTTTGTTTCATCTAATTAATTGAGGCTATGTAACCTAATAAGCTAATCTACTACACTTTGTCCATGTATTTTTAGAACCATGGGAGTTTCTTAATGGTTGGTTTTACAAACTTAGTATAGTGGTTGACTTTCTTGACCATCTTGTTTAGGAAAGACAAATTACTCTACGAAACTCCTCATTTGGAAAAGTTAAACTCATTATTTTACTCCTAACAAGATGGAGTTTATTGGACATATTCATATAATAACTTAAATGTTAATATTAATTTTTAATTACCATTAGGACACATGTCATGACTTTTATAAGTGGATGTCTTGTTCCTTTACAAGTATCTTTGCTTCATCCAATCAATATTAAAACAATAATTCTATGTGAGGTCATTTTAAAAAACAATGATACTTTGTAAATATTTTGAAAAAGTATATGAAGATGAAGAATTAGGTAACCCTTATTCTATTTGTATTAGAGTTAAGAAATGCTCCCTCAACATCACAGTAATGCTCACTCTATCTTAAAATAAATGTTTTAATATGACCGACATATTTACCAATGTATACTTTAACTAATAATGGGGGTGTTTGACAATTGATTTTTACCTAACTTTTGGCTTTTTAGTTTGGTCAAACAGCCAAAAAATATATTTGATAGTTGGCTTTTTTATTAGCTTTTAAGTTGGCTTTTTTGCCAAAAATCAAAAGCTAATAGGAGTAGCTTTTGCTATTGGCTTGTTAGCCCACTTTATCACTAATAAACAGTTAACAACCATTAATAATTTTATCAAACACTTTTGTAAATAGCCGACTTAAACAACTAACTTAAAAAGTCAATCTATAAAGCTAATACTTCCAACTAAGCAAACAAGCCAATAACCAACAACCAACCACCAATTGTCAAACAACCCCAATATCTTTAATTATCAATAAGAATAACTTATAAAATGTTTACATTTGAAAATTATACATTGAGACAATTTCAACAAGTAAACACAATAAATATATTTAATCTTATATAATACTCCATATGTATAATAAAAAGCACAAAAAAGATTAAAACTGTATACATAAATAACACGGAGTATAAAAGTCAAAGTATGACATTTTATTCTGAAAGGGAGGGAGAGTAACAAGGGTTACATCATAGTGGTAGGAATAGTGATTCCCATAATTTGGAATATAGACATAGGCCCAACATAATGGGTATGGTTAAACCAGCTAAATTACAAGCGCCTACTGTACAAACAAAAAGATGTCTTCTAATGAGAGTGCGCGCTCGAGTGGTGGACCGACCAAATCAAAAGTTGCAATATTACTTGCCAAATCAAAATCTGCATTTCCTGTTATACTAGACAAACCACTCTTTCTGGGCCCTTCAACTTAAACCTCTTTTCAAGAACAATTCTTCACCATCTTTCAAGAATTAATATACGAATTCGTTGTTCGTACTAAGTTAGTAAGTTTTGCAAGTTCTATAGTTAATTAAATAATTAATTATTTCTTAATAATTAATTGAGTGAAGAGGTCTTACCCTAAGAATAGATAGGAATTGCAAATCAATTGATTATAAGTTATATTGTAATAAGATAAATGATCTGATTAGAGTACACTTCTTTTAGGCCTAATTTATATGAAATAACATGTCACACCTTTAAAATGATGAATGAAGAATATAGGATACCTCGACTCTCAAAAACTTTGTATATAACATTTGAACTTACAAACTTAAAGTCCTAGAGTCAAAAACCATCAACTAACCAAATTGAAGTACTTGTCACACCCGCACGTAGGTAGCCCTGTACATTCAAAGCCTAGCATGATCAAACTTAAACACAACAACAATAATTACAATAAAATCCAAAATTGGAAAAATATTCATCATCTAAAGATCACAGGACAAAAATTACAAAATATTTGTACATGCTTAAACAAAAAACAAATGAAAACCTTAATTAAGACTAACATAAACCAGTACTAGATCTTTTACAGTAAAGAATAGCATCACGAATGGAGCTCTCATCAATATCACTCCAAGCTGCTGCTGCTGAACAATAAGCTGATGAATTATCTCTCATAGGAGAAGAGATTACTGGAGTATTATTAGTACTCCAACTTTTTACTTCCCAAGTTATCCTATTCACATCATCAACTCTTGTTCCACCCCTGCCTATTGTTTCTCTCCTAGGAATCAAGCATTTTATGTACTTGCTGATTATTTTCCTAGGTACAAATTTACTCCATTTTCCCATGAACATTCTTCGAAATGACGACGAAGATGGATGATGATGATGATGAATTGTAGAACTGATAAGCAATGGTGATGGGGTTGAAGCATAGTAGTTGTTGTCCCCTGACTCGTCGAGGGACTGAGGCAGGATGAGGCCATTGGAGAAGAGTTTATCAGCATGAACAAGTGAAGAGGGACAAGTTTTCGAGATTGAAATGTCGAAATCGAAGTTGTGAGAAGTTTCTGATATGTTGTTTGAGATGGTTTTGTGTAATTCTGATTCTGTTGCTAACCAACTGTATGAGAAGCTCTCTGTTGCTAGAGGTTGTGAAGTATCCATGTTGTTTAGTAAAAAGAGTTGAGTGTTTAAGGAGAAAATACAGGTTTATGGAGTAAGCTAAGAGATTTATGTTATGCTTGAATTGGTGGAATTTTGGAGTATTAATTAGAAGTATCAATGAAGGACCACAAATTCAAGGAGAGGTACAGTTTCAGAATGTTCCATGACATAAATTTATTGATTATTGAAAGACATAGATTTTGTCATTTCTTGGCTTTGGAGTTGACATATATTGAAAGACCCTAGAGAGATTATCGGGAGTCATGATAATATAAATTCATTGTAGATTTAGAGAATGACACAATCATCCAATTTTATCGGTTTTCTTCTATTATTATCCTCAAGTATCTACATGTCTAAACTTTTTGTCTATCTTTACGATCGTTATGCAAAGTGTGATTTTCTTGTAGTACGTACGTGTTTTATATTTATTGATGAGCGAATTATATTTTATCAAGGTGATAGATTAGAAAATCGAGATTTAAGAGATGATTATGTTGGAATTATGGACATTATAAAGGGGTTTTTGTCTAAAATAATCCAAGCAATAAAATTGGGGGAAGGGAAATAAAGAAATGGAA